AAATAAATAAAATCTTAAAAAAAAAAGAATCTTGCAGTGTAGCAGGCATCGTATAGACAAGTAATGAAGTTATTATGAGCTAAAATGATACCTGCTATAATGTAAGTGTGTGAGAAGTCCAGGGGACTTATGTCATAGTGTATGGCTATCAATTCCCCGTTGCCCTGATGGGAGTGAGGTGTCCAGATGTTGTCATTGGTTTCACTTGTGGGTGGTGAGTGAGGTCTTCATCCTTCAAAATGGCTTTTGAGTATAGGGTAGAAGCTGAGATGTCTTGCAATGGCCCAGCTAAGGTGATTAAAAAGAGCACAGCAGTCCCAAGAGTCAGGAGTACCTGGGCCAGAAGTTTCTTGGAAGAAGGAAGAAATAAAGCTGCCATCTGAGGGAAGATGAATCTGAAAGGGAAACAAACTAAGATAATGGGAGGAGGACAGTGTGCTAGCTAAGAACATGGACATTGGAGTCAGATATCCCCACACCCCTTCTCTTTTAAATAGCAAGATAAAGCTGGAAATAAAGCAAGAAAAAAAACAAAGCTAAAAATTTAGTAGGCAAAATGAACCAGAGATATTAGAATTAAAATCAGAGCCAGAGATTAGCAGTCTACACCTGCTGAGGGGACAAGACTTGCAAATCTAAGGATGTTGTTTGACTGTGTTATTGATCAAAGAGATATAGAAGTGGGTCACAGATAAGGATGCTCATGTCATGTTGGCCAGAAAGCTTTGGGGGAAAAGGGAAATGAGATCTGAATGCATTTGATGGAAATAATAACAATGTGACTGGTAATAGAGGTGACTGATTTCATTTCACCAGTGTTTCTGGTAGATATGTATTAGTTGTGTAATATTTTTCCACTGTTATTTTATTTTAATCTCCTAGAATGGAATAATAATTTAATATAATATAGGTAAAAAACCTTTGGTATCTTTGACAAGACATTACTGTTGCAGGAAGGATTCTGGACATTCTAGTTACAGCAAGGCCACAAGAGCAGTCATCCTCCTCAAAGCTTGAGTATGTTATAACTATGGCCAAAATCTGAGCTCTTCAAAAACACTGTGGGAACACAAATTTACACTGGGACTTCAGTAGTAAGTAGTGTGAACTAGAGAGAGGATGAGGATAGTGTTCAGTATCTTCAAACTTTTCCCAAAATTCTTTGACACATCTCTCATTGAGAGATGGGGACTATGTTCTCCCTTTTTGAATCTAGGCAGGCTTATGACGGCTTTAACCCATTGAATATAGTAGAAATGGTGCCATGTGACTTCTGCATGACCAAAGGTCATGCAGATCCCACCTAATACTCTTGGGAGGTTTTCTCTAAGGGACACTAGGTGTCCCTACCATGTCAGAGAGGCCAGGTGTAGGTGCCAGCCGTAGAGCCCTCAGCTGACAGCCAGCATCAGTGGCTAGCCATCTGAGTGAGCCTTCTTGGGTGTCCAGCCCAATCAAATCTTCAGGTGAGCACAGTTCCAGTGGACATCTGGCTACAAACACATGAAAGACTCAAAGAAGAATTGCCCAGCTGACCCATTCCTGAATTCCTGACCCAGCAGACTTGGTGTCGATGAGCCCCCACTTTCTAGATGGCTGGGTTTTTTTGCAGCAACTTCACATAGATGAAGATATGAGGATTTTTTCTGGGGTCTGTTTTATAAGGGCACTAATCCCACATGACTTAATCATCTCCCAAATGCCCCACCACCTGATACCATCACCTTGGGGGTTAGGACTTCAACATATCAGTTTGGGGGAGACATAAATATTCAGACCATAGCACAATTGGATGCAGGCTAAGCAAATATAAGTCCCTGCCTGGAAAGTGCCCACTCAGATGTCTGCTCCAAGTGAGTAGGAACTTTGTTTTGTTCCCATTGTATCCCCACTGCCTCAAATGGCAGGTGGCACATAAGATATGCTCAACAAGTATTTGTGTTGTGAATGACTGAAAAATGAATTGATGGATCTCAGGATGGCTTGATGCAGCCCTAACCAAATCTAGAGAATGTATTTTTCCTCCAGCTACTGGACCTCACCTGCTGGAAACAATGTTTAGTGTCAGAACCATGCCTGATTACTCCTGACTTCTTGTGACTGCCCTGGTGTTTCATATCTGAACTACATTCATTGACCCTGATTCTTTCATTATTCAACCAGATTAGGTATACCAATAGCCAGAATCCTTAGAAGCTTCTGAACCCCAAACCTTGTTGTTTAGCTCTTCATATTAAATGACAATAAAAACTAACATTTAAGTAGTGTTCTGCATCCTTTACATATATTAACATAAACCAGTCAACACACCAAGTGCAATATTATTATCCCCATTTTTTGGTTGAGGAGACTGAGACACAGAGAGGTTAAGTCATTTGCTGAGCTCTTAAGTTACAGGGCTGGGATTCGAACCTAAGCACTCTGGATTCTTACCACACCACTCCCCAGTTGTTGATGTGCAGCCAGAATTTGATGGATGAATCTGTTGCCAGCCACCTGAAATATATATGGTTCCTGTGGAATTGAGGCCAAGCAGCACAGACTTATCAATATTTGTTGCTTTGATTGCACATAGTTGAACGTGGGGCTTACATGTTTTCAACAGAGGACAGCAAATGCTTTGCACAGAATTTGCCCATGTTTTTTCCTTTTTTCTGTTATGTATTTTAACTTTGATGTTTAAAGAACGTTTCAAATATCCAAGGGCAAGTAGCCAACCATGTTCATTTCAAAGCCTGGCTTAAATATAAGCCCCACATCTGTAGCCACCACCTCAGGGAATTCTGTCTAAGCAAGGTGAGTGATTGCAGTGACAGAATAGATTTGGGTTCATTTTGACACTTTTTATTCCAGTTTCTTAAAAAACTATGTGTCTAAGAATATTGGAGCAAAACTAATTTTCTAATTCTTACTTTTTAAAAAATGAAATGACAAAAATTTGTTTTATCCAGTTGAATTCCCAAAGTATCAGATGGGTTTTGTCCTCTGTCTGGAACTACCATGCTCAAACTCTGATTTCTCTCAAAATTTTCAACTTTGCCTGTAGCCACAGTTACATGTCTTTTCATGTTTTTGAAGTCATTTCAAGAGCCATCATGGCTTGGGTGTAACAGACCTCTATTGTTCTGTATCAATATTTCAAAAATATAGTGATCCAAGTGAAACAGCATGCTTGGCTCTCATCGAGAATGACCATTTCAGTGTCCACAACAGCTAAACTGTGGAAAGAGCCAAGATGTTCATCGACAGACGAATGGATAAAGAAGATGTGGTATATATACACAATGGAATATTATGCACCCATCAAAAAGAATGAAATCTTGCCATTTGCAATGACGTGGATGGAACTGGAGGGTGTTATGCTGAGTGAAATAAGTCAATCAGAGAAAGACATGTATCATATGACCTCACTGATATGAGGAATTCTTAATCTCAGGAAACAAACTGAGGGTTGCTGGAGTGGTGGGGGGTGGGAGGGATGGGGTGGCTGGGTGATAGGTATTGGAGAGGGTATGTGCTATTGTGAGCGCTGTGAATTGTGCAAGACTGTTGAATCACAGACCTGTACCTCTGAAACAAATAATACATTATATGTTAAAAAGAAGAAGAAGAAGATAGCAGGAGGGGAAGAATGAAGGGGGGGGAAATCGGAGGGGGAGACGAACCATGAGAGCCCATGGACTCTGAAAAACAAACTGAGGGTTCTAGAGGGGAGGGGATGGGAGGATGGGTTAGCATGGTGATGGGTATTAAAGAGGGCACATTCTGCATAGAGCACTGGGTGTTATATGCAAACAATGAATCATGGAACACTACATCAACAACTAATGATGTAATGTGTGGTGATTAACATAACATAATTTAAAAAAAAAAGAATGACCATTTCAGTTTGGCATATAGATAAATGTTATCCTATTCCAAAGTTGGGGTAGGAGCTCTCCCACTTGGGACCCCATGTAACTTATGGCTATGTCTCTTTGATGTTGTTGACATTGAAAAGTAGCATTCAACAGCCAAAAAATAAGGAAAATCCGTTCCAGTCTACCTGAGATCTCTTGAAAGAAATTTACAGGTGTCCATTCTGTAACCCTCTGGGACATTTCCCATGTTATCTTTTTTCTGTTTTCTCAGAGCTTAGAGCCCCTCACCTGCTGAACGCCCCAGGCATTCTCTCAGGGAAAACCTTCAACTCCAGGTTTTGGAATTTATTAACTTTGCAGCTCACCTCTCTCTCTCAAACTCATCGTTCGGAGGTTAACTTGATCTTCTTCCCTCAGACCTTCCTTTCTGCCTCCTCTTTGGTCTCATTTTTCTTAATTTCTGGTCCTCTATAATACCCTCAACAGAGATGGGGATTCCAGTATCAGATGGTCCCTCTCCACCACATCACACAAGAGTTTTAGGAACCCTGGAGTGGCTCAGCCGGTTAAGTGTCTGCCTTCGCCTCAGGTCATGATCCTGGGGTCCTGGGATTAAGCCCCACATCAGGCTCCCTGCTCAGTGGGGAGCCTGCTTCTCCCTCTGCCTGCCACTCCCCCTGCTTGTGCTCCCTCTCTCTGATAGATAAATAAATAAATAAATAAATAAATAAATAAATAAATAAATAAATCTTTTAAAAAAAAGAAGAGTCAGGTTTTTACCTAGCAACCCCTCTCCACACCCCCACCCTGAAGTTTCTAGGGCCACTCTGTGTGAGACCTTAACTTCCTAGTCCCACACTAGGATTAGTCCTGGTGCTGGCATGCTGACATACTCAGAACATCCCACAGGAATTCAGGCAGGGAACTCACTGAGTACCCTTGAGCAGGGCAGTCAAAGGAGAAGCAGTTGGTGTGACAAGAAGCTTTATTTTTCTAGCTGGTCAGACACAGGTAGTGATACTGTGAGGCACAAAGAAGGGGAGACCGTGGGCTCCTGGAAAAGACATACAAACAGAGCCTTCTGCAGAGAGCTCACCCTCCTTCCCACATCCACGAACATTTAATCTGCTCAGCCAGGAAAGGGAGATAGGGGGATATAGGGAAGACTGCATTACACGGGGCTTTTCCAGGCATTTTAGATTTCCATTTCCTCTCAAATCACTTGTCTCAGCATCAGGATCCCGGGTCAGCAACAGTCCCTGGAGCCATGGCCACACCCAGAGCCCCCAGACTGCCGCCCACTGCCACTGTCACAGGTGTCAGAGCTGTGGAGCCAGCATCTGTGGGATCTGTGGTGCCTGTGGTGGCTCAGGCAGCAGCTGTCCCCGGAGCCAGGAGCACAGCCAGCAGGGGCTGGCAGGGAGCACTGTGCTGGACTCTTTGGGGGGCACTTGGGCGATGAGGGGCACTTGGGAGGGGGCTGGCACTGCTGCTGGCTCTGCTGGCAGGACATCTCTGCAGGAGTTTGACCTTCAACAAATAGAAGAAACTTTATGAGCACAGAAGCTTCAGGCAAAGTCCCCTCCCTGTGGATTTTGTCAAACATTTGTCTCCATGACCAAGCTGCTTTCTAGGCCAAGCTCTGTGGGACAGAAATGGGGACAGGGAGGAGACACATGCACTTGGATGCCAGATGGATCTGTGTGCACCTCTGACAACATACTCAGAACAAGAATAGAAGGAATCCTGAAGACCTGTGGCTTTGGGGGTTCACAGCCTCCTGACAGGTGCCTCAGTGACTCTTTCCTCACCGTCATGCCCCTTCACCATTGCTGCCCACTGTCTGGGCCCCTTTCTGTTGGTTCTGTTCAGATCTGGGCTTTTCTTCCCAACACTCTCAGCTGAGGGGATACTCACGGGATGCTGAGGAGGCAGGACAAGGCTGTTCCTGAGGATGCTGTGGATGAGGAGCCCAGGGCAGGAGCCCTTTTATCCTGTGCAGGGGCAGGAGGAGGGAGGGTTGTGATGCAGGGCCAGAGTATGCTGCTGCTTTCACAACCAGGGGAGGTGACAACTTGGCACACTCCCAAGACTAGGCTTTCAGCCTTTTTCCCAGGCACTTGCATATGTCTAATGGATGAGTTTCAACCAGGAAACATGACTGTCCACATATAACCCCTTGAGGCCTACTGGGAACCTAACACCCTTCCTTCCTGCTTGCCTTCTTTCTTTCCTCCCTCCCTTCCTTCCTTGCTTCCTTCCTCTGCTCAAATGCCTTAGTATAGATTCTCTCTCATATACCCTCCTGGGAACAGGTGTGGATAGGAAAGAATTATCTTCTTGTATTCAGAAGTCTACTAAGATGGACACACAGGCAAATGAATAAATCATAACACAAATTCCAAGTGATAAATGTAATTTAATCTACATAGTATCTCCATGCTACCTCTGTGACCATGACCTTCAGATGTAATCCACTACTACCTCCTGAGCTCCTGGCAGTTAGATATGGGCAAGATAGGGGACTGGTGCTAGAGCCCTATCTGCAGGGAGTGAGCCCCTAAGATGACCTCATGGCACCCAAGGGTGCCCAATTTCACGAATAAAGGGAGCAGAGCAAAGTTAGGTGTTGATGGACAAATAAATAAAATGCTCAGAGCTGAAAATGTGTACTTTTTTTTTTAGTGAAGTCATCTAAACTCAAAACTATTTACACATTTGAATCTATTATAATATCATGCTACAGTCAAGGAAAAGTGATTAGGACTACGTAAACTTGTAATCATATATGATTTTAATAATTTTTGCTATTAAAAGATATTGTATCATGGATTTATATTTTTTACAGAGAAAAATGTTCATGGTCTATTGTTAACTTGTAAAAAGCACTACACACAGTTAATTAAATGATATTTTGAATGTATTTTTTATAGGGAATGCATCTTATTCTCTTATAATGGAAAGACTATAAAACCTATAAGACCATCTACTTGCCTTTAGATGATTTTGTTTTTCTCATTGCACTGTAAAACTTGCCCTCACTGAAGCATAAGGATCCCACGAGTTGTTTCAAACCCCCATGGAGGAAGCACTGGTAGTGGGTGGGCATTCGGGGTGTTAACTCAGGAATGGAGGTACTGAGACTGCTGGGGAGGGAACTGTACCCTCCTGACATTCTCTTGTCTCCAGAAGAGGCTCTGGACACCCCTGAGGCCATGCTTTCAGCCCCAGTGTCAATTCAGTTTGGTGGCCACTTCCCTCACACCATGGGAACCCCACAATTAGATACTGGATTGGAAAGAGCAAAACATGAGGGATGAAAAGAGGCACTATTTTTCATGTGGACAGCATGGTGAGGTTGTAGAGCAAGAGAATAGCATGAAACTCATTTCCATTTTCATCAGCTTTGCTGGGCGGGGCAAGCCTTAGATAATACTACAAAAATAAGGCTACTTTCTGTCCTGGTGCACCTGGGAAGTCCTAGCTTACAACTGGTGTCCCAGTGTAACCACCCAGTGGTGTCCTGGTTTGGGTAATAATATAGAGATCAGCCTAATGGAAGTGGTGCTAACATCACACTTGGAGCCCCTCTGAATGTCCAACCTGACATTGGAGTGTGACTGGGAAAGGGGCATCACCCATTGTCTTTTTCCCCACAGACCTGATTCTCCTACTGCTAGGCCTTCCCCCTGAATTTCTTCACATTCAGTCATGAGTTCCCCAGTTCCTACATTTAATACACTTTGAAGGAGCATCAGCTATGGATCAGGCACCTTGCACAGTACCGGGGATACAGACAGAGGAGAGAGAACAGACCGCCCTCACAAGGCCAACAGTCTAGCAGAGAGGAGGAAGACAGATGGTGAATTACAGCTGTGGTGTCCATTAAAGAGAAATTGCAGGTGTTGTGGGTGTGTAAGAGGAAGAAGGCCTAATCTAGTCTGGGGGTTCAGATCTCTGCAAAAATGGATGTTTTCTTTTGACCTCTGGTTCAACAGAAGCAAGTACAAAGGCTCTTTTGGTCTACATGGTTTTAATCTTGAGTCATTAGGCAACAACAGCTGAAGAGTCACATCTGTCTCAGGGGGTTGGGGAAATTCCAAAGTTTCTCAGTGCCTCTGAGCAGGGAGATTTCTACCTCTCCTTGGAAATGCAAGGATTTCTGTGTGGCTTCCTCCAGGTCCATCCCTGGTTTTTCTTGTCTTAGAGAAGGAGTTGTTTTAGTCCTGGAGTTGTTTCTTACTGACTTGAGATCCATGTCAATGAGGAGCTCCCTCTTCACAGGCCCTCACATGTCTCCCAGAGCAGCTGTTCCACTGGCCTACAGACCAAACACATGTCCTTGATAGCAGAAGCACGGCTGTGAGGCCATGGCTGGGTGGCTCCTCCCTGGCCAGAAGGTCAGGTCCCTGAGGGTCAGTGCTGTTAACAGCCCAGCCTCAGGAGCCTGACACTCTATAGCGTTGAGCTATCAGAGGGAACCCTGCTTATTTCTGATATATCTTCTCTTGACTGCACTCAGAGGAGGTAAACCTCAGTTCATCAAGAATAAGAAATGAAGGAAACACAAAACTCTTCTCCTTCACCTCAGGGACAGGACCATGAAAGAACAGGACTGTGTGAAGCCCTCTAGGACAAGTATCTCAGCATCTCTCAGAAAAATGATGAGAGGGAGTGTGAAAATACCACCCAGCCTTCTAATCTGAGGATATTTGATCCTGGATTCTCATCCATATACCAATTTAGATGGTGTCTAGCATTTATGAGATGTAAGTATCTCATAACATCACATCCACTGAAAACAGTCCATATGGATTCAGCCTTTAACAAGATGCCAGTTTATGATTTTTCTTGGTATGAGAATTTCAATGCAAGCCCCAACCCTGAAACCACAGCACCTAAATACACTCAACTCCTAAAGAGCTCCCAGAAGAGTCCCAGATGTCCTCCACATATATTAAGACATTATAGAAGAGGCCCTGCTATTAGTATCACATCATCATGTGAAAGTAGAAAGCTAGGAATTTCATGAAAAATGTTAGAATAGAGGATGCTTTTCTTAGGGGAATAGTGAGGAGGGGAGTCTCATTAACTCCTCTAAGCAGGGTGAACATTGAGGATGTGGGTGGGGTCAGGATAGGAGAAGCCAGGGGCACTGTGTGGTGATGAGAGCTGGGTGGTGACATAGGTGCTTTGTAACTATGTGACACATCCCTCTGGAGATGCCAAGAAATTATGTGAAGCCACTTTGTAACTATTTAGATAGCTGGTCATTTCCAGCTAATGTGATTTGGGCAAATAAATTTACCCTGATGTCATCTTGTACTCACAGGCTGAAAAAAATCTGCTTATATTTAGGTTACACCTTACATGAGACACTCATAACTTGTAAGATTATGCCTCTTTTGTAAATGTAAAAAAAATTAGACAGGCCAGCAATTCTAAGGAGAGTCTTGGAATAGCTGAGACACTATTACATTCACATGAGACTAAAGGGAAAATAAAAACATATAATTCTCCAGAGAAGAAATGTTTAATACAGGGTTATATATGTTTTTTGTTATATCAAGAATTACAAATCATCCTGATGAAGGATATTTCAGAAAATCACACACTTTATCTTATGCTTTTAGTATGTGCAAGGTTGCAGGCTTCAGAGTATGGGAACAGAACTGAAGGAGATTTTTACTCTTATCTTTAGTTTGAAATGTTTCTTTTAGGTTATTTGCTAATGAAGCAGACATACAATGTGTGCTCAGGGCATAGAGCCCATGCTTTTAAGTTTGGTGAGGCCATTCTGACCTTGGTAAAAGTATAGCTTCCCTGGGAGCCCAGGATCAGGATCCACAAATATTGAAAGTTGAAAATTTCCTTCATCAGTACAAAGGCAACTGAATGGAATGATAGTCATTTCAACAAATGATGCTGAAACAGTTGGACATCTGTATTTAAAAAATAAATTATACCTCATATTATATGTAAAAATTATTATATACAAAAATTAACTCAACATCAATAACAGATCAAAAGGTAAAACAAACACTATAAAACTTCTAGAGTGAAGCATAAGAGAAAATCTTTGTGACTTGAGTTACACAAAAGATTTTTAGAAATGACAAAAATGAGGTGATTCAAAAAGAAAACTTTCATAAACTGGACTTCATCAAAACTAAAATTCCTGCTTTTCATTCTTCTTAATGGCTGAGTAATATCCCATTGTATATATGTACCACATCTTATCCATTCATCAGTCCACAGACACTTGGGCTGCTTCCATAATTTGGTTATTGTAGATAATGCTGCTATAAACATGAAAGGAAGTGTTCAGTCACTATATTATATACCTGAAACTAATATTACACTCTATGTTAACTAACTTGAATTTAAATAAAAATTTAAAAAAGAAAACTAGAAAGGCTTTAGAAATAAAGCTCTCTTTAGATAAAAAACAACAAGAACAAAAACAACTCCTGCTTTTCAAAAGACACTGTTAAGAAAATGCAAAGAAAATTC